TTGTGTTGTGTATGTGCGTCATGACTGGTGTTGCACGTCTGCTGTCTTCGTGGAAACATTCGTGTGAGAGAGAGGAGACGAGGCTTGCTATATTGATCGACACGAAAGTTTCAGCTGGCCTCAGAGGTGAGCTTGTACCTGCCTACGACACCTTGCTCTCAACCTCACGACAAGTCTTGCAGGTCAGAATGCTTGAATACACTGCATCTTGCATGATTCTCAACTGTAAGACAACGCACCCTCATATATAACTCCATGAGTATATATATATATATAATAATAATATATATATATATATATATATATAATATATATATATATAATATATATATATATATATATATATATATGCAAAACAACCACTCTGAAAGAATAGAGAAATTCCAAGCGCTTTCGTGACTACTCTATAATGTGAGTAGTCACGAAAGCGCTTGGAATTTCTCTATTCTTTCAGAGTGGTTGTTTTGCATATTCTGAAATCACCTGTTTACTGTGATCTTATTGCATATATATATATATATATATATATATATATATATATATGCAAGATAAGAAACGGGGATGGAAATCATCAGCTCGAGATCTTTCACACATCTCCTTGCATCATCAGAGTTATACAAAGTTGCAAGAGTAGCATCAGGTGGAATGATTATATATTAGGTACACCTGCTCGTTAATGCAAATATCTAATCAGCCAGTCACGTGGCATAATCTTAGTCCCTAAAAGCATGCAGACATGGTTAAGAGGTTCAGTTGTAGTTCAGACCAAACGTCAAGATGGGGAAGAAATGTGACCTAAGAAATTTTGATGTGGAATGATTGTTGTTGCCAGACAGGGTGGTTTGAGTATCTCAGAAACTGCTGATCTGGGATTTTTCATGCACAACACTCTCTAGGGTTTACAGAGAATGGTATGAAAAAAAATATCCAGTGAGCGGCAGTTTTATGGTTGAAAACGCCTTGAGAGGTCAGAGGAGAATGGCCAGACTGGTTCAAGTTGACAGGACAGTGACGGTAACTCAAGTAACCATGTGTTACAACAGTGGTATTCAGAAGAGCATCTGTAAATGCACAATACATTGAATCTTGAAGTGAATGGATTACAGCAGCAGAAGACCACACCGAATTCCGCTCCTGTCAGCTATAAACAGGATACAAGGCTACAGTGGACACAGGCATAACCAAAACTGGACAACTGAAGATTGGAAAAACGTCGCCTGGCCTGACTAATTGCAATTTCTGTTTCAGCATTCAAAAGGAAGTATTAAAATTTGTCATAAACTTTGGGGTGTAATAATGTTTGGTAGAATTACCGACAATATGTAAAGTAAAAGGACACAGTGCAACTAATGTGACATTTTATTGTGGCAACGTTTCGCTCTCCAGGAGCTTGACAAAGCTCCTGGAGAGCGAAACGTTGCCACAATAAAATGTCACATTAGTTGCACTTGTGTCCTTTTACTTTATAACCTTTGGGGTGTGGTGAAAGAAGAGATTCACAAGATGAATGTGCAGGAACAAGTTCTGCAGCAACTACGTGGTGCTGGCATGTCACCATAGACCAATATTTCTACGTAATATTCCAGCGCTTGGTTGAATCCATGCCACTGAGAATTCAGGCTGTTCTTGGGCATAGGAGTCCTACCCACTACTCGGATAGGAGGGTGTGCCTAATAGTGGCCACTATAAGTATAAATAAATAAATTATATATATATATATATATATATATATATATATATATATATATATATATATATAATATATAATATATATATATATATATATATATATATATATATATATATAATTATACACAGTATGGAACCCACACCTGGTCAAGCACCTCAAAATTAGAATAAGTCCCAGAGCTAAGGGTATGTACTACGAGGAGAGGTTAACGCAAATCAACCTGACGACACTGAGGACAGAAGGGATAAGGGTCACATGATAACGACATATAAAATACTGAGAGGACTGGACAAGGCGGATAGGGACACCATGTTCCAGAGATGGGACACAGCAACAAGGGGTCACAACTGAAAGTTGAAAACTCAGATGAGTCACATGGATGTTAGAGAGTACTTCTACAGTCAGAATTGTCAGAAAGTGAAACAATCTGGAGAGTGATATAGTGAAGACAGAATCCATACATAGCTTTTAAGAAGAGGTAATGATAAAGCTCATGGATCAGGGAGAGTGTAGACCTAGTAGAGACCAGTGAAGAGGCAGAGTCGGAACTGTGATTTGACCCCTGCAACCACAAATAGGTAAGTACACACCACACCATGACTTTTTAATTAATATTATACACTTGGAATAATGACTTTTTGCGAGTGATCTTGGGAAAGTGTCAGCTGGTACTTGTATCAGGTGAAGGCAGCAGCTGCACACTCTCCACGATAGATGTGTTTTAGTCAATGGCAAATCCGAGAGTGATATTCTCCAGATCACATAATACCAGCTCTTATCTATTCTTATGTATGGTTAGAATGACCAATATCTGTTTCCCAGAATTAAGATACCCAAATGTTGCACAAGAGCCTCGTTTATCATTGGTTTTTTTAAATCATTTATTCAACTTAGGTTACTCTTGTCCCTCGAAGATGCGACCCACAACAGTCTACTAACACCCAGGTACCTACTTACTGCTAGTGAACAGTAGCAGCAGGTACATGTATAGAAACATGACCAACTTTTCCACCCGCGTCGGGGATCGACCCCGGACCCTCCGTGTTTGTAATAATAATAATATCTTTATTTACTACAGGTACATGTACAAGATATACACACCTAACTGACATCAATGACATACTATTTTAAACTGATGGGCTGATGGGTGAACAGGGGCAGGGACAGCAAGTGTCTTATGGAAACATTAAGGAGATTCGAACCCCGACCTCAGTGTGTGAGCTGAGTGTGCTAGCGCTCGAGCTACGCAGGGGTTGATTTACAACTCCTGGCCCCACCTGTGTGTACTCACCTATTTGTACTCACCTATTTGTGGTTGCAGGGGTCGAGTCATAGCTCCTGGCCCTGCCTCTTCACTGATTGCTACTAGGTCCTCTCTCTCCCTGCTCCATGAGCTTTATCATACCTCGTCTTAAACCTATGTATGGTTCTCGCCTCCACTACTTCACTTTCTAGGCTATTCTACGGCTTGACTACTCTATGACTGAAGAAATACTTCCTAACAACCCTTTGATTCATCTGAGTCTTCAACTTCCAATTGTGACCTCTTGTGTCTGTGTCCCATCTCTGGAATATCCCGTCTTTGTCCACCTTGTCTATTCCGCACAGTATTTTATATGTCGTTATCATGTCTCCCCTGACCCTCCTGGCCTCCAGTGTCGTCAGGCCGATTTCCCTCAACCTTTCTTCGTAGGACAATCCCCGTAGCTCTGGGACTAGTCTTGTTGCAAACCTTTGCACTTTCTCTAATTTCTTGACGTGCTTGACTAGGTGTGGATTCCAAACTGGTGCTGCATACTCCAGTATGGGCCTGACGTAAATGGTATACAGAGTCTTGAACGACTCCTTACTGAGGTATTGGAATGCTATCCGTAGGTTTGCCAGGCGCCCATATGCTGCAGCAGTTATCTGATTGATGTGCGCCTCGGGAGATATGCTAGGTGTTATACTCACCCCCAGATCTTTTTCCTTGGGTGAGGTTTGCAGACTTTGGCCGTCTAAACTATATTGTGTCTGCGGTCTTCTTTGCCCTTCCCCAATCTTCATGACTTTGCATTTGTATGTGTGTGTGTGTGTGTCTAGGCAGATGGCTTGAGCCACTCTGTCATATTCACAGACAATCCATGAGTCATGGGTGAAGTTGATTTTATCGTCAAGGTCTTGTGGTGGTCAAAGGTACCAGATGAAGGGTAGGTAGAATACCAGTACCAGGTTTAGGTAACAGGTAATTGCCTGGCAGTGATTGTGGGTTCTAAGGATCCAGAAGAATAAATCTATCTTAATTAACATAAGGTAAAAAAAAAGGGGTGGGGGATTCTCGTACAGTGAACTACATCTTACCTGATGCACAACACCAGGATGGTTACCTACAGATCTAAGAATGGAAAGTGAAGGTGTACAACTCTTGGCATTATTGTAGGGTTACCCACTACCAGTATTAGCTGAAAGATGATTGCACAGTTCATTGTCATCTACACAGGGTTTTGTAAGCTTTCCTCAGTCATTTCTGGGGTATACCTGGAGGGTGTTTCAGGGGTCAGCGCCCCCATGGCCCAATCTGTGACCAGGCTTTGTGATGGATCAGGGCCTGATCAACCAGGCTGTTTTACTGCTGGTTGCACGTAAACCAACATACAAACCACAGCCCAGCTGGTCAGGTACTAACTTAAGGTGCCTGTCTAGCTTCTTGAAGACAGCCAGGAGTCTATTAGTAATCCTCCTTATGTATGCTGGGAGGCAGTTGAACAATCTTGGACTCCTGACACATATTGTGTTGTCTCTTATTGTGCTAGTGGCACCCCTGTTTTTTATTGGGGGTATGTACTGCCCGTCGAGTCTTTTGCTTTCATAGGGAGTGATATGCTTGTGCAGATTTGGGACTAGTCCCTCTTAGATTTTCCGAGTGTATATCATCATGTATCTTTCTCACCTGTGTTCTAAGGAGTACAGGTCAAGGGACTTCAACTGTTCCCAGTAATATAGGTGCTGTATCGTACTTATATGTGCAGTGAAAGTTTTGTGTATATTCTCCAGGTCTGCAATTCTCTAACATTATCACTCCCAGGTCGTTCACATTAGTTTTTCACTCTATTGTGTGGTTGGAATTTGTTGTATACTCAGATACAGTTTTTATTTACTTGAGCTTTCCATAGCAGAGTAATTGAACCAAATATAGGTTCAGTACCAGAATGATGATAATAAAAATATGTATAATTGTCGTAGGCAATAGACTGGTTCTAAACCAGAGGTTTTCAAGTATATTTTGTTGATCAATAATTTGTACTTTTTTTTTTTTTTTGCCACCATACAGGTTTACGCTGATGGTAAGAAAAGGTTACCGTGACCCTCCATACCACAACTGGATGCACGCTTTCTCTGTCACACACTTCGCCTTCCTGTTAGTACACAACCTCCACATGACAGAGCAAAGTATCCTCACACACCTTGAAGCTCTGGCACTCATCGTCTCCTCCATGTGCCACGACCTTGACCATCGAGGGACAACAAATTCTTTTCAGGTGTGTGATTGTGATAACTGTATCACTGTATAATACAATATTTAAAGTAACTATCATGTTGAAATAATGTTCATAAAGTAGTAGTTCCCATAATATGACCTGCATACATATCTTAATATGTAAACACATGAAAATGCTAAGGTTTTACTTACTATTTTGCTGTGGTATTTTTTCATGTTTGCAATCATGCATTTTATTGTGATATCTTCTATCTTAATACATCTATTAAGTGTATGGATATTGTATTTTTATTATTGTTCACAAATAATGTGCATACTATACAAGAATGAAACTCTTGTAAAGTAAAAGGACACAAGTGCAACTAATTTGACATTTTATTGTGGCAACGTTTCACTCTCCAGGAGCTTTGGTAATGGCTTGGCAAAGCTCCTGGAGAGCAAAACGTTGCCACAATAAAGTGTCACATTAGTTGCACTTGTGTCCTTTTACTTTACACATTGTAGGTAATTCTACCAAAATATATACAATGAAACTCTTGATGATGTTTCAGTCGAACTTGGACAATTAAACAATGTTTATCACATTGTAAGTAAAAATAAACATTACTGCGTGTAAAATTACTGGGTAAATGCCCTTGGTTGAAAAAGTAAATGAATTTAGATACAAAGGGCAAATTTTATTTTTATAAGTATTATACAGTATTTAATCAACATAAATGATACGTATATAAACTACCTGACAGGAAGCCCCTTGTTATGTAGAGCAATTTGGACCATCTTAAAATTAGCTTAAAACTACTGAATAAATATTTATTAGGTTAGTCAACTAGAATACTACGGTTTGCAGCCTTTGATGTTTTATGTAACAATTTGGTTTAAGAATTATGACTTTGAAATTTTACATAACAGTTTGGTACATTTGTAGTGGTGAATCCAATATGACCCTTGTGGGTTTAGCACTTAGCTTTGATTATAATAACAATAATTATAATAACAATGGACGTGTCAGCAGATGGGTCTATGAAAGATAGAGGTGAATCATAGAATTGATGAGGGGAAAAGGGTGAGCGGTGCACTTAGGAGTCTGTGGAGACAAAGAACTTTGTCCTTGGAGGCAAAGAGGGGAATGTATGAGAGTATAGTTTTACCAACGCTCTTATATGGGTGTGAGGCATGGGTGATGAATGTTGCAGCGAGGAGAAGGCTGGAGGCAGTGGAGATGTCATGTCTGAGGGCAATGTGTGGTGTGAATATAATGCAGAGAATTCGTAGTTTGGAAGTTAGGAGGAGGTGCGGGATTACCAAAACTGTTGTCCAGAGGGCTGAGGAAGGGTTGTTGAGGTGGTTCGGACATGTAGAGAGAATGGAGCAAAACAGAATGACTTCAAGAGTGTAATCAGTCTGTAGTGGAAGGAAGGCGGGGTAGGGGTCGGCCTAGAAAGGTTGGAGGGAGGGGTAAAGGAGGTTTTGTATGCGAGGGGCTTGGACTTCCGGCAGGCATGCATGAGCGTGTTTGATAGGAGTGAATGGAGACAAATGGTTTTTAATACTTGACGTGCTGTTGGAGTGTGAGCAAAGTAACATTATGAAGGGATTCAGGGAAACCGGCAGGCCGGACTTGAGTCCCTGGAGATGGAAGTACAGTGCCTGCACTCTGAAGGAGGGTGTTAATGTTGCAGTTTAAAAACTGTAGTCTAAAGCACCCTTCTGGCAAGACAGTGATGGAGTGAATGATGGTGAAAGTTTTTCTTTTTCGGGCCACCCTGCCTTGGCGGTAATCAGCCAGTGTGTTAATAAAAAATAAAAAATAACAATAATTTAGTGGTGAACACTGAAGTAGGATTTATTTTTGGGTATTACATATGTGGAGATATCTTGGTAACAGTGAGAGCATCAGTATGAATGCTAATATGATTTGGATCAGCAGGGTTTTTGATGAATTGGGATCTCAACATGATTAGTCTAATCAGGGCTTAGGTCAGGTTTAGGAATGTTTTAAGTGTGTGTGTGTGTGTGTGTATATATATATATATATTCTTTCTTTCTTTCAACACACCGGCTGTATCCCACCGAGGCGGGGTGGCCCAAAAGGAAAAACGAAAGTTTCTCCTTTTGCATTTAGTAATATATACAGGAGAAGGGGTTACTAGCCCCTTGCTCCCGGCATTTTTGTCGCCTCTTACAACACGCATGACTTACGGAGGAAGAATTCTGTTCCACTTCCCCATGGAGATAGGAAATAAACAAGAACAAGAACTAGAAAGAAAATAGAAGAAAACCCAAAGGGGTGTGTATATATATGCTTGTACATGTATGTGTAGTGTGACCTAAGTGTAAGTAGAAGTAGCAAGACGTACCTGAAACCTTGCATGTGTATGAGACAGAAAAAAAAAAAGACACCAGCAATCCTACCATCGTGTAAAACAGTTACAGGCTTCAGTTTTACATTCACTTGGCAGGACGGTAGTACCTCCCTGGGCGGTTGCTGTCTACCCAAACCCACTACCTAGGATATATATAATGTATATATATATATAATATATATATATATATATATATATATATATATATATATATAATATATAATATATATATATATTCTTTCAACACACCGGCCGTATCCCACTGAGGTGGGGTGGCCCAAAAGGAAAAACAAAAGTTTCTCCTTTACATTTAGTAATAATATACAGGAGAAGAGGTTACTAGCCCCTTGCTCCCGGCATTTTAGTCGCCTCTTACAACACGCATGGCTTACGGAGGAAGAATTCTGTTTTCCCCTTCCCCATGGAGATAAGAGGAAAATAAACAAGAATAAGAACTAGAAAGAAAATAGAAGAAAACCCAGAGGGGTGTGTATATATGTGCTTGTACATGTATGTGTAGTGTGACCTAAGTGTAAGTAGAAGTAGCAAGACGTACCTGAAATCTTGCATGTTCATGAGACAGAAAAAAGGACACCAGCAATCCTACCATCATGTAAAACAATTACAGGCTTTCGTTTTACACTCACTTGGCAGGACGGTAGTACCTCCCTGGGCGGTTGCTGTCTACCAACCTACTACCTATATATATATATCTTTCTTTCAACACACCGGCCGTATCCCACCGAGGCGGGGTGGCCCAAAAGGAAAAACGAAAGTTTCTCCTTTTACATTTAGTAATATATACAGGAGAAGAGGTTACTAGCCCCTTGCTCCCGGCATTTTAGTTGCCTCTTACAACACGCATGGCTTACGGAGGAAGAATTCTGTTCCACTTCCCCATGGAGATAAGAGGAAATAAACAAGAATAAGAACTAGAAAGAAAATAGAAGAAAACCCAGAGGGGTGTGTATATATGTGCTTGTACATGTATGTGTAGTGTGACCTAAGTGTAAGTAGAAGTAGCAAGACGTACCTGAAATCTTGCATGTTCATGAGACAGAAAAAAGGACACCAGCAATCCTACCATCATGTAAAACAATTACAGGCTTTCGTTTTACACTCACTTGGCAGGACGGTAGTACCTCCCTGGGCGGTTGCTGTCTACCAACCTACTACCTATATATATATATATATATATATATATTACATATAAGATAAGATAAGATAAGATTTCGTTCGGATTTTTAACCCCGGAGGGTTAGCCACCCAGGATAACCCAAGAAAGTCAGTGCGTCATCGAGGACTGTCTAACTTATTTCCATTGGGGTCCTTAATCTTGTCCCCCAGGATGCGACCCACACCAGTCGACTAACACCCAGGTACCTATTTGCTGCTAGGTGAACAGGACAACAGGTGTAAGGAAACTTGTCGAAATGTTTCCACCCGCCGGGAATCGAACCCTGGCCCTCCGCGTGTGAAGCGGGAGCTTTAGCCACCAGGCCATATATATATATATATCCTAGGTAGTAGGTTGGTAAACAGCAACTGCCCAGGGAGGTACTACCGTCCTGCCAAGTGATTGTACAATGAAAACCTGTAATTGTTTTACATGATGGTAGGATTGCTGGTGTCTTTTGTCTGTCTCATACACATGCAAGATTTCAGGTATGTCTTGCTACTTCTACTTGCACTTAGGTCACACTACACATACATGTACAAGCATATATATACACACCTCTCTGGTTTTCTTCTATTTTCTTTCTAGTTCTTGTTCATGTTTATTTCCTCTTATCTCCATGGGGAAGTGGAACGAATTTTCCCCCGTAAGCCATGCGTGTTGTAAGGGGCGACTAAAATCCGGGAGCAAGAGGCTAGAAACCCCCTTTTCCCCGGGGCGGTTTAAAGGAATTTCCCCGGGGCCCCTAGGCTATTCGATTGGGGGGCTTTTTTGAGTTTCGGGTAAACGAAGCGACCCTTCAGCTTAGGGGTGGGGGGGGGTCGGTGTGGTTAGGTTTATTTTTTTTTTTTTTTATTTTTTATTTTTGGTTTTTATTTTTAAAAACAATTTTACTCTCCAAACACTTGAACTTTTTAATAGGGACCCCCTGCACTTTCAAACCCTGTCGCAGTCTTGGGTGAGCCCCCGAACCCCTTTGGGCCCCGGGGGGCCCCCAAAAGCGCGGGGCCCCAGGGGAAATGCCCGTTTGCCCATGCGGTAATCCGGCCCTTTCTCCCGTTTAAATTATAAATTTTAAAAAAGAAAAAATTCGTTTTTCTTTTTGGGCCATCTACCTTGGTGGGGTATTTCCCGGTTGTTGAAAAAAAGAAAATTTATATTTATATTACAGTGGACCCCCCCATAGCGAAATTTAAACCGGGAAGAGGGGTGGGGGTTATGCGAAATGTTCGCTATGCGAATTAATTTTCCCCATAAGAAATAATGGAAATAAAATTAATCCGTGCAAGACACCCAAAAGTATTGAAAAAAAAATTTTTTTACCACAAAAAAATGTTAATTTTAGTACACACAAACTGAAAAAGGCATGCACAATTACATGACACTTACTTTTATTTGAAGATCTGGTGATGATTGATGGGATGGGAGGAGGGGAGAGAGAGTGTTAGTGTTTAGAAGGGGAATCCCCTTCCATTAGGACTTGAGGTAGCAAGTCTTTTC